GACCACTACCTCGATTGAATCTTTGTTATGATCGGATAGGTGCAATAAAATAGTTGTATGAATAGCTGGGTGTCCAAAAATATGGCTAAAAATGATGTGTACAAGTTGGTTATTGTAGCGACTGATACTGTTGGCAAGAATAGGGATGGATGTGACATTGTTTATGGAAGGGTAATGGGTTTGGTACATTGATGTAAGGTGTGAAGTGAAACCTCTGAACTGTTGCCCCACATAGTTCACTGCTTGGGCTTCATTTTTTTTCTTTTTGAAAACTTCACCTTTATTTGCTTCACTTGTCTCTCCTGCATCAAGCTTACCATTATTTATAGCATTTTCAATAATTTCATCGGATATCACCATATTTGTAAAGCTTTTAGTGGTATTGCTTATCAATCTCTCATAGTATGGTATTTTCAGAATGTTCACAAATAAGACAGTTATCTCTTTTCAGTGAGGGAAAGTTAAACTTATGCAGTCATATCTCTCCATCTCTGTGCATAATTTTTAAAGCTTTTGGTTGTTTTCTTTTTCATGTTCTATAGAGATAGACGATCTGGAAGTTAAATCTATGACATGCCGATATTGTGTAATGAATGCCCTTAAAAGCTCTTACCAGAAAAAAATACGAATCTTGTCTAGTTGAACATACCATCTAGTTATAGATCTTGTAAGGTTATCTTGAAATACGTGCATCAATAATTTCTCGTCACGAGCATGTACCATCATCTTACGATAATACATGGTGACATGAGTCATTAAGCATTTTGTGTCATCATATTTTTTAAACTAAGGGACTTTAAATTTAGGTGGATGACCATATTTGAAACCAAACAAAGCTCAATTGCATCTGTGGAGCCATAAAAATCCATTCTCTTTATGATCCTTAAATCTTTTTTCTAATAATTTCATTTTTGTTGAGCACTGGTACCTTTTACTTTCTCAGATGTCTCTATCTCTAACTTTTCTCTCTCTTTAAAATAATTCGAGTTTGGAATCAAGATTGGCTTAGATGATTTTTCTATCATGACAAGATTAGTAAAATTTTGGAATTATCTTGGAATAGGTGTAGATGTCATCCCTAGATAAGGATTGGCATATCTTTCAGGGGTAAAAATTTAAATTTTGATTTCTTGAGAAGGTTGAGTTAACCGTGGTTCAAACCCTGGAGGGTATATAGGATCACCATGTTTTGTAATTGTTCTTGGAGGCTAAGATTTCCTTCCACTGCTTTTCTTTTATCCAAATTCTTGAGCATATCCATTATCTTATTAAGATCCTCTTTTAATCTTTCTTGAGCCTTCTCAATCCTTTCAAATCAATTGACCTGTTCTTATTCCATGATTCTTGTTTAAACTCTAGTGTTGTATGAATGGTGAGTATGTTGAGTCAAATTTTTTTGGTGGACGAGCTGTTCTTGAACCTTTTATTATCATAAAAAAAATTTAAAAAAAATCAAAATGCCATGTGTTGAAATTTTTATTTTGTATTTTTAAAATTTTTTTTTTTAAAAAAAATGATACACATGATGCATGAATGCAAATGGGAGATATTTGCTTTTAGATAAATTTCAGTACTAAAAATTTTCATTAATTTCATACGACTTTTGTTACATGAGATTTGAGCAAATCTATAGTTCTATGGGATCCATGAAGGCTTTTCGAGAGAAAAATATCTCAGAGCAAATACCTTCATACAGAACTATATGATATGATTAATGTAAAAAAAAATCAAAACAAAATTAAGTTAGTGTGATGATGTGATTTGAGATTAAAAAAATATTTTTTGTGTTTTGAGATTTTTGTTTTATTTTTACACACAACTTTTATTCTTATACATTTTGGACTTAGGTATTTTTTTACAAGAGGGTGGGCAAGGCTCTACCTAAGCTTCCTAGGCTTATTGCATGTTAGGTTTAGGTTGACATACATCTAAAGGTTCTCAAATTGTTCTTTACTATCATCCACGCTGGACTAGTAAGGTATCTCGATCCTTACCCATTACAAGCTATGAACAAAAAGTGTTCAATTTGAGTGAAAGTATTTCGTTTGTCATTGCGGAGGTTATCACCTCACGAGGGTATAGGTACTTTACTTCCTCCTATAAAGACGAAGCTCGGGTATAAAGCTCATGCATGATATGCATCATGTCATTATGTGTGTATATGTTTCCTAATTTATCAAGAGTAATATATACGAAAAAAATGAAGCATAAGAAGCACAGTAAAAGAAACGTATGTGAAATTTTTTTTGTTTTCAATTTGTTTTTTTTTTTTTACTTTTTTTTCTTATTGAAAGTAAAAAAATAAAAATTTTAAAAACAACTAGGATTATTTAAATCAAAATTTAATGATAACATATAGTTAATTTTGGCTTGACTCTTGAATAGCACTCCCCAGTGGAGTCACTAAGCTGTTGTAACGGTTTTGGAGCTGCTGATGAATTTGAAAAATGAAAATAAAAAAAAATTAGAGTTGCCACTAATCTTTTTTGGTTAGGTGCGATTGGTCACCTATTAAAATTTATCCTTTTAATAAAATTTTAAAATTAATTAAAATTTATTAAAAAGATAATTTTATGATCTGCAGAACAGTTTGAGTTCAAAAGTTGGTTAAGCGTGATGAAGGATTAGTACCCCCATAGCGCCCGTTTAAAACGGTACCAATTAACTATGTGTTATTCATTGATTTTGATAAAAACAATCTTATTTTCGATGTTTAAAAAATAATTTTCTTGATTTTTTTGTTTGTTGAATTTTTTTGTTATTTGATTTTATTTATTGTTTTATTTTTTATTCAAATTTTATTTGAGAAAAATAATTCAAAACCTTTTTATTGAAATATTTCTTAAAATGTTTCAATACGTTGATAATATTAGAAAAACTTCTTCTCACCTAGAGATTTTTTAAGTATCGTTTCTCGAAATATCTTAAAATCTCATTATTGGAGGCTCAAATTTATTTTTTGCAAAAAACTATGCCATGCATGCAATGCAAATGATAATATGTTAATGCACACATTATATTTTTTTATTTAGAAATTTTATTAATTTTTATTAATTTTTTCATTTAATATTTTGAGGAAAATGGAATTTTTATTAAATTGAAGATTTTCTATAAATATTTCAATACATTGATAATATTTTAAAAAAAAATTTACCTAGGGATTTCTTAAAGCATCTCTACTCGGAATACTTTTAGAATCCTATCATCGATAAAATTTCCTTTTTTCTCATTTTTATTGCTTATTCTTAATTTATTAATTAATTTTTATTTACTATTTTATAACAAAAGAAAATTTTTATTGTATTGAAAATTTTTTAATAAATACTCAAATACACTGGTAGTATTTAAAAAAAAAATCTTCTCACTTAGAGATTTTGTAGGTATCACTACTCGGAGTATCTTTGAATCTCATCATTGGATAAAAATTTCTTTTCTTATATATTTTTTAGTAATTTTGTATTATTATTAAGTTTATTTTTAAAAATAATATAATTATAAAAATTTTAACAATATTATAAAAACAACAAAATTTTATTATAGTAATTTTAAACATTTTAACATGCATAAATGTTAATAATAAAATTTAAAGTAACAAAAATAATATTTAAAAAAATAGAAAAAATAATTTTTTTACATAAATCGGACCGATCAACGGTTCGATCAACGTAGGTCCAGCGGTCTGGTCTCGTTCAGCAGTTCGAAATCAATCTGGATCGGGTTCAGCGGTTCGATCCCGATTCAGTTGGATCGATCAAAAGCTAAATATGAAGCAGGTTGTCAGGTCAAAGGCCGACGTGCCGATCCTTCGGTTCAAATCGACATCATTTTGACCATTTAATGAAACAACGTCATTTTGGCTTTCAGCTTTCTATAAAAAAAAAAAAAAATTCTCTCATTTTCTCTTATCCCTCTCTCTACACTCTCAGACCCTTTTTCTTTAGATTGGTCAGTCGGTTACCGTCCGCCACGCCGATCGTCAATCGTCGATCGCCGTCTATGGTTGCTAAAAAATCCTAAAAAATATCAAAAAATTATCTTCGACTCCCTAAACACAAATTGAGGCCTAATTTTGTCCGAATCTCGTTGAAATGTCCTAGATCAAGTCTCAAAGGTTCAATCAAACATCTTTTTTTCCTTTTTTTTTTTAAACAGCTAAACTAGTTTTTTTTTTTTTACAGGAAAGCTTTTGGTGCTGGTTCCCTGTTCCAGGGGACTATGTTTTTTTATTTGAATGATTTTTTTATTCTAAAAACTTCTTTTTTTTATTCTTTTTTACAAGATCTCTCCCTCATTTTTTGATTTGGCATGCAGCTCAATTTATAGAGCTCTGGCCATGCCTTGTGCCTGGATGAATGACACAAAGCTTGGTAGAAGGGGTGTCGTGTACGGTACCCCAAGCATCGACCCTCATTTCTGCCCCATTATCCTTTTGTATCACTGGCATCGCCCACCCACGCTAGGCCTTATGCATTGGTTTTTTTATAATATCTAAGTTTGGTATAAATTTATGTTAAATTCGTTCAAATCATTTGTTGACATCGTTCGGGAGTTTTTTAAATTATATATGCAAATAAAATTAAAATATTATCATATATCAATTTATTCATCATATTAATTTATTAATTATTTTAAATGCACTCTACTAAAAACTCTATCAAATGCATATTCAATTCATTAATTTAATGTATAATATTTAATCATGATTAATTTTTATTCATACTTATAATTTCATTAAAAAAAAAACTTAATTTTTAATACATAGAAACCCAAGGAAAGGGTTTCCCACTACTGGAAATCATTATCGAGGTGGTAACTATTAATTAAATATTTGATTCAATAAAAGTACAAATAATTTCCTTTTCAGAAAATATGATTCAAAGATTTTAAAAACAAAAAAAAAAAAAATTAACTAATAAAATATAGGTTGTTATAATACATCATAAATTTTCACTAAACTATATTTAATTATTTTCATATAAACTAAAATGAATGTTTACAAGTTTCCTTCAATAATTTAAAAATGGGATTTAAGAAATAATAATTTTAAATTGAAAATAGTTGTTCATTTTCTATTTGTATTTTTAAAAGAATAGAACAATTGGGCAAAGGGAGTTGAAATCCGTTGAGCATAAAGTGGAAGGGCCTTGAAACTTGAAAGTCCACTCAAAGACTCCTCAACATCAGATTCACGCCACGCCACTGTCTTCTGAGAGAGAAAGGAAAAGAAAGATTCAGCCAAACACTCACTGTTCGTCTCCGCTATTTTCCACCTATCTTGCGGTATCACTGCATTACTGTCAAGTTTTATAATCTTTACTGTTTTCCTTATCTGGGTTTCTCGTAGTTTATCTGATGTTTCAATGGGGATGATGCTATTGTTTATGCGTATTAGATGTTTGTTGAAGTGCCTATGTGTAATGGAAACCTTTCCTTTTCTGTATTTTGTTTTTTGTTTTCTAGCAAAATGCTTGGCTCAAATTAAGGGTAACTTTCGTTTAGTTTTTTTTTTTTAAATTTTTTGTGGGTGGGTTTTCATTTTTAGGTTGATTAAATTCTTATCTTTAGGTTGTTTCTTTGCTGTTTAGTGGGTCGATTGAGAGGCTGAATTTATAAAGTATGAATTAGAGAAAGAACTAACACAAACTTTATTATATAGCTGTTAAAAGATTGCCTCTCCAGAGTCCAATCAAACTCATTAATCTCTACTAATTTGAATGACTTGTCATTTTCGACTATACTTCATCTGATACATGCATTGGAATTTTTTTTGTGTCCCATACTTAAGTGACATATTTGTCCTGTCAATGGCTATTTAACTTTTAAGGCTCACATCTCTTTAGTGTATGCAGTAGCTCAAATGAACCAATTTTTGTGGCCTTGTAAGCAATCAATGAAATTGTTATGTTTTTGGGTTTTTATGATATTAAACTAATAGTTATATTTTTGGATTTTTATGATATTAAACTAAGGAGTAATTGGCGCTTGTTGTTGTTGAATTTCTGGATAACTTTGTACGTATAACTATTGTTGTTGGCAATGCAAGTAAGTGATTTAAATGATTTCCAGCACTTATTTATTGGAAGAAAATATAAAAAACCGTTTCTTTTTTCGGTCTAAGTAGTGCACAGTTTGTTAGTTTTGAAGTATTATTTATTCTTGGAGCTGCTTAAATGTAATGTGTATAATGCTACACTGTCTAAACTTGTGCTGTAGCTGTTAAAGTTGATTTTCTTTCTTGTAACCAATTCCTTATTCCTCTCTCTTTCTCCCTCTTAAATATTTTTGTAGATGTCTTTGTATATTGGCCATCTCTCATCTCGCACTCGTAGGAATGAACTTGAGCATGTTTTCCAAAGGTTTGGAAGATGCAATATACGGCTGAAAGATGGCTATGGATTTGTTGTGTATGACTACCCTCCAAATGCAGAGAAAGCTTTGAGAGTGCTTCATGGAAGAAACATCTGTGGGGAGCCATTAACTCTCGCATGGTCAAACAAACAGCCTAGACCTTTCAAAAAGATTTCTAGGGCTGATCGATCCTATGATCATGAGCCACTTAGAGTTAGGAGTTCTTCTAGAGGTGGAGATTATGGTAACAGAAAATTGGATTTAAATGTTCAGCGAGATTACAAGATGAGTATTGACCAACCGGAGAGTCATGATGTCAGGCTTAATTCTGCTGACTTGCGTAATGCAGAGATAGACTACCATCAAGACCATGTTAACGAATACACAAGGGAAGAAAATCATGACTGTGGGGAAGATTTGCTGAATGAAAGTGGTCGAGTTGTAACCAACCTGGTGGATAGTGATAGGTGGGATGGACAAAGTCATGATCTGTCTAAGGGTAATGATGTTGAACACGAAATGGAATTTGACCGGTACATAGGTTATGACAGGAAAGATGATGATGAAAACCATCAAATTGTGTACAGTGGTTCTGCTGCACAATGCCCTCAAGAGAAAATAGCAAGAGAGCTGATAGGTGAAGGAACTTTGAACCATCCTAAGGATTCAAAAGTGCATCAAGCTTGTTACAGCTGCGGTGCCTTGGGTCACAGAAAGCGTAATTGTCCCTATGAAAAAACTTCAAGAAGATATTTCTCTGGGTTTGACCACAGACATGATGGTGACATCGGTAGAGGAGGTAGAGGGCAAGGTGGCATGGAAACTTTTGGATCCAATAGTCGGGAAAAGCAGCAGCAAGATAAGGATCCCCTAAGAACAAAGCGATCTGAGGATACCAGGAAAGCATCTGGTTCAGGAAAGCATGGGAGATTGATAAAGAGTGGAAGCTCCCCTATTGCAAAGGAATCTGACAGGGCTTGGGAAAAGGACTATGGAGGAAAGAAGCGGAGTAGGAGGAGAGATAGAACTCCTAAAAGACATAGTGCAAAGAAAGCAAGGCTGATTTCTTCTTCACTTCATCCTGATTACAATGCATCTAGGTCACACTCAAAATCTAAATCCATAAAGCATATGCCAAGGCCAATTTCATGGTCCAGATCAAGATCCATATCATCCAGGGCTCACTCATTATCTACTAATTTAAGAACCAGTTTAATATCTCATTATCCTAGATCCATAAGTTCTAAGTCTAGCTCAATGTTAAGTTCTCCTACATCATTGTCTTTGTCTGTATCCCTTAGTAGGCCCTTACCATCACCTCTGAACAAGGTGCAGTTTAATTTGAGGGGCACTCTGGATATGTCTAATTCTCCTGAATCCACGGAGATTATGGTTAGAGGAGAACCAGCAGAGGGTGATGTTGAATTGGAAAATGCAAATTTTGAAAATAGAGTGGCTCTAGTGGATATGAAAAATGCCAGGTCATCTGCCTCTGTAGAAACTGAAGTGGAAAAGGACCAAGCTATTCAGAGAGATGATAGTGATAATCATATGACATCCAGGTCAGTGTCTCAAGCTAAAAATCCAAGCACACCTGATTCAGAGAAAGGTGCATTTGCTGCTGGGTATTTGTCTCCGGAGAGATTGAGAGAGATCAGGAGCAGTCAAGATTTTGATGCACTGACAACAAAGGATGTGGTATTACCACTTATAAAAATTGATTCAGAGCTTACCTCCGGCTGTTCAACAAGCATATCTTTGGAGGAGTTGTGCATGGTCATGAAGCATTATGGCCTTGAACCTTCCGATGAAAATCAAAGGCATCTATCTGTTGAAGCTTACTTTGGTTCTGCATGCATGTGGCCTTGGGAGATTATCTATTATAGGAGGTTGAAGAAAGGTCCTATTTCAACTGAGAACTATGCCAGCCGAGTTGCGCAAAATAAAGAATTTGGTATTGTTGACAAGTATGTCAGAAGCAGTAGTGGATGGGGAGAACTGAATCGCCCTTGAAAAGCTTTGTAGACAATGTGACAGCTTATTTTATGTCCTCTGAGAGCCTCAACATTTTGGCCCTTTTTTATAATGGGTTTGGGATTTTGCAAGATAAAGATCTGAGCAGGTAAGCTTCCAGAAAGTATGCCATATGGTTACCCTAAGTTTGCTGCTAGAATCGATATAACATCCTCTTCATTTTCCTGTCTAAAAGTAGTTTTATGGTAATATGATAGGTGTTAAGTAGTAGTATTATGCATATTTCAATTTCCGAAAATTGTAGGCCTATCTTCTAAGTCCTGTACTAAATATCAAGGCTGCTCTTGTTGTGGCAAATATGTAAAGCTTTGTTGCTCTTCATGTCAATATTATAATGTTCTTTAGTTCTCAAGCTTACTGTTGAATACTTTTATCTTTAACTTGATTGTTTCATATCTAATGGTTTCCCTCAGAAGTATTAAGATTTTATTCTCTTTGGGTTTTTTATTGCATAATAAAATGTTGCTTCAATTAAACTTTTTAAATGCTTGTAAATATCCCAGAAACATGGTTTAACATATGCAAGTTTTGATTCAAACTTTCGATATTTTATGCATTCTGTGCCGCAGAATGCAGAGGCATGCATTTAGAAATTTCACTGTTGGTCATAAGCACTGCATATTGACCTTGATTCTCATAGCAAACTGTAGGATTGCAACTTGCCATAGGTCTTTTTAGTTTACGTTTTTGGTGATGATTTATGTTCCTATGACCTCAAACCACCCTTAGCAAGATAAGTGCAATATTTATGTATTTTAGGTATTGCATTTGTTAAGGAAACAACAATTGCTTTTTTTTTTTTTTTTAATTAATTGTATTTTGTCATGTGGAGGTTTTTTTTTTTTTTGGGGGGGGGGGGGGGGGGGGTTCCAGGCGTGTACCCAAGACTTGATAGTGTGCCTAGCAGACGGGTTGGTTGCCTGCTAGCTAGATGATTTACTTGTCTAAAATAGGTCTATTGAAGTGAGAATTTTAAAGTTTTAGCTTATCATATAAAGGTGAAGCACCATAAGAAGTGATGGCTTTTGTGCTTGTTTAACTTGAGTTTGTATGGTAATGCTCACATACAAACAGTGGATATATTGATTGCATATTATTTTAAAAGTTGTGGGAATTTGGTGGGAATCCTTTTAGTATGCAGGCTGGCTGTTTGCTAAGCAGAAAAAAAAAAATAGCAATAGGTTATAACCAACATCTTTTATCTATCTAACTGATGTTGATTTTATTTACTGGTCTCTTTCTGATTTATGTCGTAAATTGATTCTAAATATAATGACTTGAGAATTTCATGCGGCCTTTTGACATTTTTTGCAGTTCATGCGCTCACTGCTCATAGAATGTAGTGTTTCCCTTCTACTATTTAAATGGAGAGTTGATTATGTGGTCTTATACTTTGGATTCAACTGTTTGCTTGGGCTTAGCATTCAATCTCTTTCATATATTCTAAAAGTAGTCTCGATAAATTAGTTTTGCTATCAAATAAAGTTATTGGTTTTTGATGCATGGGATGCACGCAAGCTGATGGTAAAGAATAGGGTGAGTAGCATGTTATGGTATAGCTGATGATGTATTCTATATGGGCTTATGGAGCATTATTGTGACATAGAGGATGAATATTTCGAATAAAGAACAATAGGCTTGACATGAATGATTCTTTTGTTTCAGTTGTTGTCTTGAACTGAGATCTTTAAAGTCACTGCTGAATTTGAAATGAGTCATTTTTTCAGAGATTTATAATAATTGGTTTATTGCACCAATAGCACCTAAGTTTAGGAACAAATATTCTTTTGAATCTTTGCTTGGTCAGATATATTTGAGGTACGAGGTCTGGTAGATTAACTATTATTGCCATCAAACTGTAATTAATAAAAATCCTATTGAACTCGTGCTATGCTTTGTTACAGTCATTTTGTGACAAACAGAATCAATACTGATTTTAGGCAATGACTAAACCCATGAGGTTGAACTAAGATTTATTTGCTTTTGTTCAGAAACTAAATTTATGTTATTCATTGATTTGATTCCTAATTCAAAAACTGACTATGAAACAATTAAACCTTTCAGTTACTGTTTCCCATGTTGGTTTTTTTGGCATCTTCACTTTAAGCAGAATATGTGCATCCCTGCTTATTGACAACTCTCTTCCTGCACATTTATGACCTGCTATGCTTCATTTTTTTCCCCCAAGTTGATTTTGAGATTTGCTTGCATAAAAATAGCATTCACAGGTAACAAAAAAAAGAAGTTGAAGTTATTTCTCTTCCCATGCTCTTCACCATTATTTTTCTGTGACTTTGAAATTATGTCCTACGCTAGTAGTACAAGATTTCAAGAGGGTTGAAAAGAGAGAGAGAGAGAGAGAGAGAGAGAGAGAGAGAGAGAGAGAGAGAGAGAGAGAGAAATGAATAGACTGAAAATGGACAGAAAAGTAGAGAGAGGGTTACCAAAATAGAAAATGGCAGCAGAAAGGTGGCATTTAGTGAGTGATGAAAAGAGAGTGAAAATGAAGGCAAAAAGGAAAAAGATTGAGAATAGTAGATGAATTAAATTTGTATTCATCATCTGACATAATAAACCCTCATTATTCTCAACTGTCTCAATTACTCTTGCATTTATGTGTTTTAATGGCCTTTCAGTCCAATAGTAGTTCCCTTTTTTTTTTCAATGCTCGAACAACCTTACCTCACTCAACATCATTTATCTTATTACCCTTTTCTTTTTTGTTTCCTTAGGCCAGTTAAGATCATTTGATAATGTTGTGTTTTCAGGCATTTAACTTAATGATTAAAGACAATTTAAAGGATATTAAGGACCTGATTTTGAATCAGGCTTCTCCTCCTTCTCTTTATTTATACTAAAGCTTTGCCTTCTTATGTAATCGAAAAAGATAATGTTTTGTTTTTTTCTTCTAGAATTACTGGATTCTATGAAAAGAAAACTGTATAATGATGAGTTGTTTGTAAATGGTCACTGTGGCTAACTTTTTGCAGACATGTTAGGCTGAGGATCAACCTCAATGGATTTGGATTTGCAATTGGCAGCAGCAGCGAGTCTTCCCTGGCCCTGAGGCACAAAAGAAAGACAGCTTCATTGCCGTCTGATTCCTGCAAGTTCATAACTTTGGTGGATGATTGAGAGGCCCCATTCTATATCAAATTGCAACGTAGCTAGCTGAGTAGCCAATCATTACATGGCGGGCCAAAGTCAAAGAAAAATAGTACTCCTATAGTCCTACTAGTATTCCCCCAACGGCCCAATACATCTTCTAAAACTGCTCTCAAGTACAGGAAAATCCAACCTTTTCGTCATGGGATTTACCCATCTCTTCGGACCAGGTAAAATTCAGTGATCATTCTTTTTCACTCAGTTGAACTGAGCATTGTGTCACTGGCCCATCAGCAGGAGCTGTGGCATTTTCTGATGTGATATAAAGCCACAAAATAATTGAGAAACCAATAAAAAAATCTAGAATTGGAAAAAAGAAACACAACACAATGGCTTACGAACAATATAATTTTTTTCTTTTTCATAAGAAAAAGTGGGCAGTTGCAGTTAAACCAGTTTACATAGTCTTCTGCTAAAGAGGGAAGGAACCCAAAAACCCATAGTATTCTGCTAAAGAGGGAAGAAACCCAAAAACCAGACCATAACGGAGATATCCACTAGTACAAACGCCCATATTCGATGTTCTATGATTTTAACCCAAAACAAAAAAGACCAGTGCTAGACAGAGATATCCACTAGTACAAACGCCCATATTCGATTCGATGGTCTATGATTGTAACCCAAAACAAAAAAGAGCAGTGCTATTCGTTGTGCACCTCTTTTAATCACTAATTTTGCTCTCTAAGGAGTAAATAACAAAAAATAAAGAAAAAAAGTGGAGCGCAAATAGAGCTATTTGAGAAAAATAAAGGGAAGAAGCTCTAACATTAAAGTCCTAATAGCCAACATTAAAATTAGCGAAAAGGCCGGGGGTAGGGGGGGGATTCCTACTCTAGCTCTTTCTTGTCTTGACGGCGGTGGTGGTAGCAGTATCATGGAGGAAATCAAGCAAAACAGTGCTCTTGCATTTGGGGCATTTAGGGTCATTCTCTGAAAGCATGACGTACATCAGGCACCTTGGGCAGCCTACCAGAACCATGGATGTTGCCTCAGGGCTGCTTGAGTATCTGACAGTACTCGTATCAACGTCCTGGTCCATGTCCGATGACACGCATGAGCTTGGAGGAGATGTCGGTGACACGGCAGCTGATCGGCGTGGTGATTCCACTCTTGGATTAAGCCTTGGCGGTGACAGGTTCAGCCTCAACTCAAGCTTGGGACCATTTCTGCGACTCATCTTTTGTATGTTTACGTATAATTAACCTGAATGAAACATCATGTAAGACAACCAACAAAAAAAGAAGTCGGCTCAATTATATATAAATAAAACAATTGAATTGTATTGAAATATTGATAACATGAATAAGAAAAAGATTGAATGTTAGTTACCTTTAAAGGTCAAGGAACCTTGGGCAGGATAGGCTAGGGTGATGATGATGCAGGGTAGGAAAAGGAGGGTAGGCTAGGATGAAACTCTGAGGAACTAATTCCTTTCTCGGAGAATCAAGAAACAAGGGCGATGGGGAAGTGATGAGGAGCTTGAAGAAGTAAGACAAAATATATAGGGAGAAATGAAGGGAGAGAGATGGGTATTATTTAAAGTTTAATTAAATTATTATGGTAAGGGAGAGATAGAGGTGTAGGTTAGAAAGAGAGAATGGATTGAAGGATTGGTAGAAGAAGAGTGTAAATTGAGGGCAGGAAATGTATTAATGGTAGAAAAAAATCCCAAGAAGCATGCCAGAAGAAGGAAAATGACAGTAAAATATTATTGCAATTTAGAAAAGTGCAGGGTGGTGGAGGAAACCCCTTCATTCATTGCTTTTTGCTTTTATATAACGAAGGGGGAAGGGGGGAGTGGGTGTTCTTAAAGGGTGTCATGAATTGGATTTGGAGTGTAACGCAGGGAAAGAAATCCCAAAGGCTTTCATGGCTCAAACCCCAGATTTTTTAAAAACCAACACAAAGGCCACCTAAGAATTTAATATCAAACAACAAGAATTTTTAATGGCCACCAATGAAAAGAAAGTATAGCAGCTAAACCCGATTTAAATGCCCAACAGAAGTCTGATAATTGAAAATGAACAACACCCATAATGATATTAATGGTAACATCACCAAAATTAAATGTAATTAAAGAAAAATAATCTTTATTCATATATATTTTCTTGGATTTCCAACACCTTGCCTTGCTCTTCTATCTGGCTTCTGGTTCGGTTGAGCACACAAAAGCCAAACAATTTCTCTCATATATAATCAGTTAATTTCCTTAAAAAAAAAAAAAACTTTTATTTCAAGTATATATAAAATAATGTTCCTTCTAAATTATTCAATTGTCAAGGTAAATAATTATAGATATTGAAATTTAATAATCGAATCATCAAATCGAAATTGAATTTTTTTTGAATTCACTTAGTCAAAAGCTTTGCTTGAAATTCATCTTCTCCAAATATATTATAGTTAATGAAAAATTATAATCTTATATTTATATAGGGACTTGAAATTTGAATATTACGATAAATCAAATCCGAATTGTCAATTTTTTACTCAATCTTTAGTAAATTGGCTTGAATTTTTATTTAATAAAACAAATAGTAGTCTTATAAAGGAAATGATTAACATATGGAAATTTTGAATTAATGAAAAACTGACCACTGGGTTAATACAATAAACAGTATGCTGCTTTGAGTTAATGTAATTAAAGAAATCATATATTTCATTAATAATAATTAACAAATAATTAAAATGTATGAGGCAATCAATTTTACATATAGAACTATTATTATATACATGATCAGTAAAATTTTTAAATTTCACAATTAACAAAATTAAAATATTATAAAAATTTTTATTATTTATTTTTTTTAATTCTTAAGTAAATGTAAAAACAAATATAGTACGTCAAATAAATCTTTTTTTTAAATTGTGAATGATTTAAAACATAAAAGCATTAATAAATCAATTGTTAAATTAACTTTAAACAAGACACAAATACACGAATTAATATTTTATTAACAAACATCTAGTATTACTTGGAAGATTCTAAAATTTTGGGAAGGTTAAAGCCTCCTCTAGCTTGAATTAGGATCCGCCTTTGAATTATATGTCCATGTTACTTGTACGATCTTCGTCTTGATAGATTTTTGTACATTGGTGTATTAATGTATAGCATACAACAACAAAAAAAAAATTTATTGTGCCAATACCATTAAAAAAAAAATGAAATGTGTTAGTTGTATGATTTTCTAAAATTTGGATAAGGTTTTCATATAGTAATGATGCATCATCAAACATTGATTTTGGGGGAAAGAAATTATACTCATCATTAATACATTTAAAAGAATCACGTTGAAACTATAAATTCAACCAGCTAAAAGCACAATCTTAATAAAACTATTTATTAAATGATGCAAAAATAAGTTTGTCAACTCATTATTACTCCCTATTAAATTTTTACTAAATTTTCTATTGCATGCCAATTATAAATTTAAAGAATAAAAAATATAAATAGTTTCTCATTAGTATTCCATAAAATAAAGTGGTACTTTTAATATTTGTGTCAATAAGATATAAAATAAGATTTTTTTTGTTTAAATTACAAGTATAACATTATAATAAATTATAATATATCAATAAAAAATCAATCAACAAAACTCAACAAATTAAAATAAATTAAAATATAATTAAACAATTAAATCCACGTATAATAAGACTTGAATAAAAAATTTTAAGATTTTAAGACGTCTTATTTATTACTAAACCAAGATCTTATTAACAAATATATAATAAAATTTAAATTCAAAATAAATTAAATTCAGATAAAACAAACACAATGATCGATTTAATTTTCTTATGAATAATTTTCAAATCAATTAAAAAGTAATAAAAGAAATAAAAATTATTGAATTTAGAATTTTAAGTAAATATGTTAATTCGTCTATTATATCGTGTACCATTGGTAGTTCGTGTATATTTTATACAAAAAATATATATTATAATTCATGTTAACACAAAAAATATAAAATATAATTTTTATTTTTATTAAAATTTTACTTATCCGTTTATATTTTTTTTTATATCTATCATATTATATTTTAAATTATCACTTCCACCTTTTAAAATTTGGAGTGCATTTGCACCCAAAAAAGGGCAGCCACTATATTAAAATACTGAATTACCAAAATCAAATTTAAACAATAAAATATATAGTAGTATAAATAAAAATATTAACCAACTTTTAATACCTAATAATTTATTTAGCTACAAAATATCTCTTACAATCACCATTAACCTCTCTTAATGTCATAAATTTTTTTAAACAAAGAGAATAGCAGAGAGGTTTGCTTGACATATCCATTTCATTCTTACTTTCTCAAGATTTAACTATGAGATTTTCAAATTAATTAGAATTTCAAGTTCTGAATAGTATTTTTGATTTCCTTGAAAAAATTAAAATGGCTTCAACATTATCCTAATAAAAAACAGAGAGGTTATTAATAGATATTGTAACAAATGAAATGGGTTTCTACTTTCTATCGGAAGGCCACCAACTCTCCTTTATTTCCCTGAATTGTTGTTTGAAATTTGTGGGTGATGTGAATAAATGTAACTTTCTATATTTGCAACTCAAGTTTAGATTCACAGTTGCTAATCCCAAGGAAAAATCAATTCCTTGTACCAAAAACAGAATGAATTCCCTTAATGCTTGGATTCATAACCCTTTTTTTTTTTCTCTTATATAATTATAAATGTTTAAATTCTGATCTAATTCTCTGGCAGGTGGGAAATAAAATTAAACAAAAATGAATGTGGATATAGAGAAGAGTAAATATGAAAAAAGAAAAAAAAACTGCAAATTAATATATAATTTTTTTTAAAAAAAAAATTCAAATGTATATCCTCTATAGATAACTGACCAAACACAGTAGCAATATTCTTTATAGTAGAAAATAAAAATAATAGGTCTAACATTTATTGCTCGTTGAAAATATATAATATATATTGGTGAGTTATTGTAAACCTAATAATTCAACATGGAAATAAATAACAATATAATTAAATACTAGTAATATATTATATGTATATTACCTACTCCTACCAACCCAGACTTCATATTTCCTCATATGCACCAAAAAAATCGCATTAAAGGATGTATCTATCTTTGTCATGGTTCGGACAAAATCTTCAAACTCCGCCAATTTTGGCATTTTTTCAAAAAAAAATTTTTAATGAAAAACTGGAAGAACAAGATAACACCATTTGGAAGGTTTTCTTTTTTTCTTTTTTGGTAATTTCTTGTAACAAAATGGAAAAGAAGGGCATTAAAATAGAATATAAAATCGCTATTAAGTCTCTTCAATCCTCATTATATATATATTATTAGATTAGATAACCATATATACTTGAAGATGTTACAAGGGGAATCTGGCATGCATATCTATAGCACATGGGTAAAGTAAAGCTTAATAAATATATTCAAAAGGGATGATGAAGTAAGCTCATTTGATATCATAATTAAAGCATCAAATCTAATTATGAAATTTTTTAACATAAATGAATAAATATTTTTATACCCCATTGATGAAACTTGAATTGAATTCTCAACTTCCCCCTTAATTGAAATGCATGCCTACAGATTAATTGCCCTATGAAAACTGACTATGGAGAGAAAAAACAGACAAATATTTACTGTACTCTGATTACAGTAGAAATAAGAGCAGAGAAACATTCAAGTTTTTCTTTCTTAATCTCTTTTATTGTTGATGTTTCTTTCTTTCTTTTAAGTTTTAATATCAATAATAATAAAGGGTAGTTTTTAATTTACTTGTAAGAGGATATCAGAGACATTAATGGTGAGTTTTTAAAGGAACCCTCCCCCCATCTATGAAACCCCAAGTTTGCATTTTTATATGAGATCTTCCTTCGAATCAATGCTGCCCTTAAAACTCTTTTAATGAATATCAACATATATTTATCCAAACTATCACGTGATATTAGATTCTTTCCATGCATTATAATATATAAATATATATATATATATGTCAGAAAAACCATGATAATGCTTCATTGACCTTGGTTGAGAGGAGTTGATGATTGAATATTTCCTCGAATCAGGTCTAAACTCTAAACATATGGAAAAAAAAGTTGACATAAAAAGATTACTGAGATTTATAGGATGGAAGAAACCTAGTTACCACTATGTGATTTAAAACCTATCGAATCATAAGTCTGAGCCAAAAGTTTCGAGTAGGAAACTCATAATCAAATTCCAAATATATAGTTGATTATGAATGTTTCCATATTGGGTAAATTAGTATTGGGGAGGGAGACTATGATTTTGAACTTTTAGACCAAGAGCCCGTAAACATGCATGACGTGCTTCCAGCAAATGCATATGTATGAAACTGATATAAGACAGCAGCGGTTCAGACTTCGGATCAGTTCCACTTCGTTTAAAGCCAGAAACACAAATCAGTGAATGCTACAAACTGTTCTCAAAATAAATTCAACCACATGTCATTTTCATGTTTCGAGATTATGTTTTATGTATAGCTTCAACTATCAGATTTTGATATATTATTTAATTTTCTGCTTTTATGCTTCAAATTAACGAAACTATTTATTATTTTTTTAAGGTTTTAAAATGGAACAGGCAAGTGGGCAAATTGGGTGGGGCTAAAGCAATGGATCTTCATTGAAAATTTCCTTCTGGGGTCCTGCTTTTTGGATATAGGGCGAGAGAAAGAGAGAGAGGTAAATGCTAATGCTTTGAAATGAATTAGGCATAAGATAATGGAAGGTTAGAGGAGGCGTTTATGATTGTTCACTACTGCCATAAAGATCAATGGCAATTGGCAATGGATTAGTGGCAGAAATTAGTTCTTCTGGAAGCAGTAAGAGAAAATTTTTGTAACAAGGGAGGCAACCAATTTCCTAGGGATTACATTTGATTTTGATTTGGGCTACTAGGGAATGGAAAATGCACTTTATATCTACATGTAGTCCAGTTTTCCTTTCCTCAAGAGACTGCCAACTACTGATATAATTTTGCATATTGATTAAAATGAGTAATTCATTCTATTCGGGTGTGGGTGTGAGTACAATTTGTGGTTGGTTGATGTACACACGACATTAGGAAAACCCTGCCCCTGTTTGGAATCGTAATCTGCACCACCAGCAGCTGGAACTATTTCACAATGTTTCACTCTTCTCTTCACCAGATCAATCATTCTTCATCCTGGATTAATTAGAAAATGAAAGTTTTGCTCATTCGGCAGTGAAACTTTGAATGAGAGTTACTACAAAGTAAATGGAAAGCAAGAAAATACCAGCTGATCAAGCAATTCAGAATACAGATTCAACTTGCAATTTTTTAAGAAAAATCGATTAAATCAGTTTTCGCAATCAATTGTTCACCTCTACTTAGGGTTAATCATTGCTCCCGGTAATGAAACCCTGCCCAATATGTCAATTTGAGTGTTTTTGTGTTCACTTCATTGTTGTCTGGTCTGTGGTCTGATAACGAGTAATGAATGAAATCCTTTAATGTATGAAAATTCAACGATGACTATGTCGTATTTTGATTGCTTTCATGATAAAAAAAACTCTTACAAAATTTTTGAAACGCTTGTACTATGAATATAATGTAATGGTATAATCTACTTTCTAATTTTTACCCGTAATTAGTCAAATGCAAGGTTTATTACACATTTATAGTTACCAGTAATGTCTTTGGAACAATTTAGCAAGAAAAATAATGGTAAAAGTGAAAAGGAAAAAGAAAATTATGGTGTCGTGTCGGTCAAAGTTGAATTTACTCCTTGATGAAATTATGGACTTTTTGGGCCAGCAACCTATCATTAAGGAAATTGAATCCTGTACATTAGTGACAGGGCCATGAGCCCATGAGTAATAGAGGAGATTTAAATGCTAAACCCATTTAAATTTCAGGGCCACTTATCCAAAATAAATAGCCCATTTGAGGTTGTATTAATCAAAGACCAAACAAAACGAGGGCATGACTTGGAACTTGGAAGTTGATTGAGGTTAATTTCATAGTTAAAATTTGCAGGTTAATGATTTTCCCGTCACTTTTTACTTTTAAAATTGGCTAATCATACATTTGTTTTTTGGCCTCCATTTGTTTATTATATACTTTATATTTTTGTAGTTAATCTTTGCCATCTGCCATCTGTAATTAAGCAAATTAACGAGTTTCAAGTGTGTAGCCGTCTAAAACAAGGATCAAAATGATCAAGAAGCTAGCTTAAAAAGTCTCGAGCCAGCCAATATTTATTGTTTTCATATTTCAGGGTCTTGATTGAGCTTCACAGTATATAGCATGGTTCAACATTTCCTTTGCCTAAAACGAGATAATATTGAAGGAAATATACCCACTTACATAGGCCCAAAACATTCTAATTTCTTCCTCTGCCAACACTCGCTGCGGAAGTCGAGGATTTACTTGACCATAAGTAATGTTGCAATGGCTCAGAAAAGGTAACAAAGAATTCCCAAGTTCTTAATTTTAACGAAGTGAATGTGCATCAAATTATCAGATATGTGTTATCCCCAGTATATGATTTCGCGATAAAACTGAATAGCATTGCTTGCTTGTTCTTTGTTTTGAATTAATGATTCTCAGCAAACGTCAATCTTTAATTCTCAGGCTACAAGGCTAGCTATAATTACAGGGGGAGCTAGTGGGATTGGAGCAAGCGCTGTGCATATTTTTCATGAAAACGGTGCCAAGGTTGTCATTGCTGATAAGCCTGATATCCAAGACAGTCTAGGCCAAGCCATTGCTGAGAAGCTTGGGGAAAATGTTTGCTACAGCCATTGTGATGTATCAAGTGAAGACCACGTTAGCAATCTTTTGTTGACACTACGGTAGTCAAATATGGAAAGCTTGATATCATGTACAACAATGCAGGCATCACGGAACGCATGCTCAAGGGCATTTTGCAGACAACAAAGTCTGACCCGGAGCGAATGATTGGGGTAAACTTCGACGGAGCTTTCCTTGGAGCTAAACATGCCCAGCGGAAAGGATGCATACTGGTTACTGCCAGTGCTTGTGCATCAATTGCAGGTCTTTGAGCTCACACATACGCTGCATCAAAAGTATGCAGTTTTGGGGCTAGCTATGGTATGGTATAAGAGTGAACTTTGTCTCGCCTTATGGCGTGGTAACTAGGACAGATATTACTGAAGACAAAAGACAACAACTAGAAGCATTCGTGGGCAATCTGGGCAATTTGAAGGAGGAAATACTCAAGCCAGAGAATCGGGCGTTGGCTGCCCTATACCTTGCTAGTGATGAAGCAAATTATGTGAGTGGGCTCAACCTTGTGGTGGATGGAGGGTTTAGTGTTGTAAATCCCACCATGCTCAAGTTTTCTAACCACCTTTAATTTGTAACCGGAATTGGAAATGATCAGTGCAATGTAGGCGATGCAAAATAGTTTAGGAAAAAACCAAATGAGGTTCGTAGACTTCATCTGGTGTTTGTTCCCCTTTTTAGGATTTAAGATTTTTAGGTTTTCATGTGATCTTAGTGTATTTCTTTTAGTTGAAAAAGATATCAAAAGCAGCTATCATTCTCATCATTGTCATCAACCTATATCATTGCTAGTAATGAAGACAATATCATGGAGATTCAATTGCCATCGTCGCCAGAATTCTAAAATTGTCTCTGCTTTTCTCCTAGCTTGTGTCCTGTTTTTCAGCATTCCTCCAACATATATGTATATGTTTCTTTTAACCCGATCGGAAACCCTCAACCCTCCCCTATTTCTCTTCGATCTCGAATGAAAACCCCTAAATTGAAATCTCTCGGTAACCATCCTCTGATGAAGGCTTACAACATTATTTACTAAATTATGGGGAAAATTTTGTTCGATTGGAATGCTAATTATATTTTCCCATACATATGTTGTGTTCTACGCCAGCTTTTCGAGTTTAATTTGGTTTATGTTATGAGTTTTTTCGCATGTATAAAAGAAAAAGCTTATTAAGTAATTGTATTAAAGCTTTTTTTTTATGTTGAGATTTATATTATGAGTCAAGAAATGTTAATTTAGTTGAAAAAATTATTATAATAAATATAAAATTAACAAATTTATGTCTTTTCAAAATTTTTGTAAACATATCCTTATTTTTAAAAACTACTAATATATATACATATATATATATATATAATTTCTCTACAAAAAATCTATATAAGGTGTGTCAAATTTTAATATTTGAAATTGTTATTATTCAAACTTTAATTATGAAAATTAAAAGTTTAATATTTTATTAACTATTTACTTATACTTGGTTATGTGTCAAATTTTAATTGTCAATATTAGAATGATCACGATTTTATATGCCAAAGATGATTTGTTAAAGTTAGGTTATGAAGGAGAAAAATGATTTATTAACCTTATAATTTAAACCCACAAATTCAGAACTTTTTAAAATGATAATAAAAACAAACATCATCTGAATCCTTATTAATACAACCTCCATAAAACTTCAATTACAAGCTAATTATAATTTGATAATAGCAAAATATTTAACTCAAGATTCGTCGGGGTATTGGAACATGTGGAATGACGGATTAACAATACTAAAGCCCCCATCTATGAATAGATTGTGCCCACTTACATACCTTGCCTCCTCACTTGCTAGATAAAGAGCTGCATTTGCTACATCTTCTGCTTTAAGATAAACACCCTTGAGGTTAGCTAACGAACTCATCGCTTTCTCAAGCTCCTCATCATTAACCCCGATGAATCCGGTCGCTAAAGGCGTTGCAAGAGCGTAGGGAGACAGGCAGTTAACTCTAATCCCAAATTGCCCCAGCTCAACAGCAGCATTCCTCGTCAGTCCCAGGACAGCATGCTTTGAGGCACAATAGGCATGTGTGGCAGCAGCAGCGACTAAGGAGCTTATGCTAGAAGTTGAAATTATGCTACCACTTCGAGCAGGAACCATCACCCTAGCAGCGTGCTTGATCCCTAGGAAAACCCCTGTGACGTTTACACTGAGAACACGTTCAAAATCTGATTTCTCACAGTCGATTATGCGAGCCTTGTTGGGATCGACTATGCCGGCGTTGTTGAACATGATGTCTAGCTTGCCATGAGTGGCGACAGCTTTGTCAACAGCATTTTTAATTTGGTTTTCATCGGTGACGTTGCAGTGTACGTACGAACACTTTGAAGGGCCTATGGTCTCACAAATGGAATGGCCAAATTCATCTTGGATATCAGCGATCACAATTTTGGCTCCATGGCTTGCAAAGACTTTAGCAGTGCATTGCCCAATACCGCTAGCTCCGCCAGTGATTAGAGCTACCTTCCCTTCCAGCCTGCAGATTATAGTTGAATTATAACCTGATTAAAGTCATTTATTTGTTGGGTTTCATTTTTAGTCCAACCAAGGCTCTCATCTTATTATTGTTAGGCCGATATATGGATCCAAAACCTTGGCTGCAGGTTATCCTTAATTTATACATAAAATGAGTTTAAACCATTCATCACTTCCAAATGAGTTTCCAGTCAATTAATTAACTTATAACTGGCGATATATTAAACCAATTTGCAGGGTCCCTCAAGCTAGAAGGATATATATGCCAGTACTGAGCCCATTCCCCTACACATCAAACGTAGAAACTGAGCTGCCGGTTTGCTCACATAAACTCTCTTCCTAAACTAAACTAATGGACCTCGGAAGATCACTTTTATCGAATCCAAAACCCTCAAATATTCTAAACTCTAGGAACAAAAATAAACATATATAAATGAGAATTTGGGAGCAAAAGAGGAGATTTGTTTTTGACTTGAATATCATTCCATCTGATAATCAGCACAACATTCAAAGATTGCAGAAGATAGACATACAATCAAATGGATGAAACTAAGACAAACTCACCTTTTTGCGACTGATGAGATAAAAGAAGAAGCCGCCATAGTTCCTCCTACTTCCTTGACGATGAAACGAGAGAGTTGACTTAACACAGGAAAGATGCTCAATTAATTTTAGAAACCCAATTGGATCCAGGCCTGTCGGGTAAAATGACCCAATTTTGATTTTATTTTTATTTTGTTTTTTGTTTTTATTTTTTATTTTTTTGGTTTCATTGTTCTTAATTTTGTTTTAATTTTTTATATATAATTTTTTTTCCTTCTAAAAGATGATGAAAATTTGTCGAAAATTTGGGGTGGTAGAATTGGATTGGGATTCAAAGATTGATAATTTTGAATTTTAGTCAAAGAAAAAATTGGCATTGATCAAAAACTCTTTTGATCAATGCTTATAAATATAGGCTTAAATAAAACGAAAAAAGACACATGATATAAAGAAAACAAAAGCAAAAAAAAAAAAGGTTTTGGAGAGTAGAAACAGTTTGAGAATTTTTAGGAATTTTTTCAAAACTTTTGGTTTTTTTTTTTGAAAAATTTTTGAAAAAATTTCAGAATCTGATTAATTTTTCGGCCAACTTCGATTTTTTCGAAGAGATTTTTCAGTTTTTGGCGTCTTTTTTCCAAATTTCGATAGAAATTCATTCGGATTCTAGAATTTTGTAGAGAGGGGGTAGAGAAAAGAGGGGAAGAGAGAGAAGGAATAAGAGAATTCTGTTGAAACATACTGGTTTCAGCCTTTTATATCTCGTACAAACTACGTCATTTAGAGCGTTAGTAGATACCTAGGATCCGTGCATTTATATTTGGGCAAACCCGACCCGATTGCAACTCGTTTGACTGACTCGTGTTCCAGCCAACCATTTTAACCAAGCCGAGCCAAGCCGCATTCCCTGAACCGCACATTCGGGCCACTTTTTGTGCCTCATGCCGAGCCGAATTCCAACCGAGTCGAGCCGTTTTATTTTTGGTATTTTTTTTTCCTTTATTCTTTTTGGTATTTTTTATTAATTTTTTTTATTTTTAGTATTTTTGCATGATTTAATTTAATAAAAAAATAAAAATAAAAAAATTTGAGAATAAATATTAATTATTCAATGATGAAATTTATAGAAATTTCAAATGGTAAATTTCTATAAAATTCTTAGGTGAGAAATTTTGTCTAAATTTATCTCAAATTGTGGAATAATTTAGATAAAGTTTCAATAGCAATAATTAATATTTATTTTCAAATCAAAAAAATTAAAAATATAAAAATTTTTGGAATTAAATACAAATTATCCAAGGATGAGATTCTTAGAAATTTCAAATGGTAAATTCTAAGAAATCTCTAAGTGAGAAATTTCCTCTAAATTTAGGCCAAATTGTGGAATAATTTAGATGAAATTTCAATAAAAGTAATTGTATTCTTTTCAAATAAAATTTTGGTTGAAAAATGTGATAATTACTCAATGATGAGATTCTTAGAAATTTCAAATAGTAAATTCTTAAAAATCTTTAGGTAAAAATTTTCTCTAAATTTGACCCAAATGGTGAAATAATTTAAATGAAATTTCAATAAAAATAATTGTCATATTATTTTTTTTCAAGAAAGAAAATTAAAAAGAATTTCTAAATAGGCCCCAATGGTGAAAAATTTGAGAAATTCAAAATAAGAAAATATTTCTTATTTGACTTAAATGGTGAAATAATTAGATATATTTTCAACAAAAAAATAATAATTAAACATTTTTCGATGACGAAGCCTTTTCAAAAAATCAAATGCGATTCTTGAATACTCTTAAGGTGAAAAAATATTTTTAAGAATTCTGCCAAATTGATGGAGAGTCTTAAGAATTATTTTCAATATTTCAACATAAATTTGAAACCATTAGACTCAAGACCCTATGATAAATTTAAAATAAAATGGTACCATCTTTTGGAATGGGCATGTGGGGGTGTTATAACTTTTCTTATATGTAATCGACTCCCGAACCCTGTTCTGGTTAGTAGACCCGAACCTATTCTTTTAGGGACCCTGAATTAAGCTTAGAAGTTCCTTAAAGGGATAGATTTCTTAGGTAGCCAATCACACCTAGTTAAAAAAGATTGATGGTGACTCTATTCATTTATTAAGTTTAGCTATAGATTTACGAATCTATACGTTATGACAGTTTGACGACTCCACTGGGAAACCTAGAGAGTCAAGCCATAAACTTTTAAATTTATCTTATCCTTTAGTCTAATGGTTTTAATGATTTGTGTTATCTATTTACTAACATTTTTCCTTTTTTGACTTTTATTTGATTTTTTTTTTGGGACATGAAACTTATATGTTCCTTTCACACACACTATCACATGCATTTGCATTTCATGAGCTCTATACTCGGGCTTCGTCCCTCTTAGGAGGGAGCAAAGTACCTACGCTCTCGTGAGATGATAATCTCCATAATGACTAGCGAAATACTCTCACTTAAATTGAATCCTTTCTGTTGGTAGCCTATAATGGGTGAAGATTGGACTATCTTACTAGTCTGTGATAGACGATGATGTAAGGAATAATTTGATAACCTTTTAGTGGTCAAAATCTCTTAACCCTGCATATAGTTCACTCATAAGAGGCCAACCTTAGGATAAAGCCCTTCTTACCCATCAATAGATATAACCCAAAATTAGATACAAGAAGGAACGATTTATTATTTAACCATTTTGTTTGTTTAATTTTTATGCATCACTACATTATCATTCCATTCTATGCATCATTTTCATCTTCTTGTTTTAAGATTATCATATCATTTTATTCTATGCATCATTTTCATAATCATGTTTAACACTATTATTTGCATCATTCTCATATAAGAAATATTTATCACATATCAGTTATTGATAAATCAGATCTCTCACTTATATCTTTGAAAAGCCAAATACAATCAAAGTTTACATCAGTCCATTATAAGTCTGCTCATCAATTGAAAATCAAGTCAGAAGAATGTCAAAGAAAATAAAGAGATTACTTGCCTAAGGATTTTGTCTCATCATTGCCCGAAAAGGTTCATTTTGAGTTACAGCAAAATGATTTAACCGAGTTAAGTAGTGTCTGGGTATGCATAAGTAAAATAAGGCATGAGGTATTTGAGAACAAATATGGAGACATAGCTTCATTACTTCAGGTGAATATGGACAATAATCTTATTAGAGTTATCATTCAGTTCTGAGATCTTTCTTATAGATGTTTTATCTTTAATAAAGTAGATATAATACCCATAATTAAAGAATATATGATCTTACTTTGCTTCGATTTGCCAAACCCAAACAAGATCTACTGGTCAAATAAGGTGGGCTATCGTAAAAGGCTAATGCAAATGCTTGGACTTAGCTTGCCTCAAGTCAATGCATGTGTCAAGACAAAAGGTGAAAATAAGGCTATCCCATGAAATTTTTTACAAGATTTCATCCAGGGGCATATAAATGATGATCAAAAGTTAGTGGCTATAGCTATAGCTTATATGGACTGGTAATCTTTCCAAAAGTCATTGAGTATGTCAATATCGTAATGATAGACTTTGTTGATAAGTTAACACACCAATTCAATGTAGTGCCAACCATTTTTGTAGAAACTATTCATTCTTTAAACTTTTATCGTAGAAATGGTAAAGGTCGATTCAATGGATGCCTACAGTTATTTTATGTATAGATGAAGAGTCACATTGAATGCAAAAAAAGTCAATTTTGAAAACCATACCTTCGTTCCAACATTCCAATCTAGGAGTTTTATCGTAATATATGGCCTCAAGTAAAGTCAAAAGAAGAATGGGTTTCTTACTTTAAAGCCTTTGATAGTTAAAATATAGTCTAGAGAGCACCTTGGATGCGTCATGATACAGTGTTGTATAGTTGTGAGAGTCAACCGTGGGTGTTCTTACTAGGCCTATGGGGTACTTTACTTATGCCCTAACATTAGTGAGAAGACAATTCGGATGTGAACAATTCATTCAAGAAACTTATGGACTTAACCAGTGGGAATTCTCTTTCATTGATAAAGGGGTATATGGGAATGGTCGAAAGGATTAAAAAGGCATGGAAGCAAACCATCGGGGTTAACCAAGAAAAGCTTACTTATGACGTCACCCCAGAACATAGCATGTGGCATGCAAGGAGGGAAAATAATATTATGATTCCTAGTAAACAATTAGAGCATTCCCTAAAACCCATTCTTTAAGATCCTTTACTTAAAATAGCAATGGCTAAGAGAAAGCTCTAAACTGAGAAAGATGAGTTGAAACAAGAAAATAAGCAATTGAAGTTAGAAATGAAAGAGACTTCAAGGCTTCAAGAACTAAAAATCCAGAGCTTGACAGAGTAAAAAGATCAATGAAAAGCTTTATTCAATGATCTAGATATGACACATTCATCAATCACACCCCAAGCTTACTCGACTCTTAAAGGAAACTGAATTACTAAAAACAAGGGTGGAAGAAGAACAAAAGGCTACTGCTAGGGTATACAAACATAGCCAGATGCTACAAGAGATAGTGGATCAATACACGACATAAGTAAAAGCCTTGTCTGATGAATGCAGGAGATAAGTTAAATAAAGTGAGCTATAAAAAGGCATGTGCACAGAAAAACAAAGGCATCTAAGGTATTTGTTCGATCAGATATGCATTGTTGCAGATAAAACATCAAAAATGGAAGAAAAAATGAAAGGTTTGAAGGTTGTGGTGCAACCAGTATGAGCTAATGCCCGTAAATTGCTTGATAACAAGGCACAAAATCATTATCAATAAGCTAGAAAATTTATAATGAGGCATTAGAAATAAAAGATGATGTTAGGACTTTAGAATATTACTTTGACTTTATTAGGATGTAATTTTAAAATTTTATTAAATAAAGTTTCAAATAGAGATTTCTTTTATCAATAATGGTGATGTGGTAAATATTAGTATATTTTTTGCATACATTTGCATATCATACATAGAACACATAATTTTTAATAATCATATAATTATAGTACTCAATATTCAAGGATAGCTCCATCCAGCAGAAACCTCACTCATCAATACAACACAAGAGTCAGAACTAAACAAATAGAGCAAAAAAACTCTCATCGATTTGAAAAGATAGAAAAGGCACAGGAAAAGCTTGAAAAT